AATTTCCAGAACTTCGACAAAAGGTGTTGCTTGCCGCACATGACCGTAATGATATTTCGCTTTCTTTCAAGTACATTACTTCATTTCGAACAATGCAGCGCATTTTTGGGTACGTCAGCAAATTTGTCAACATCAAAAAATCGCCAAGGTCTTCGCAGCTCACAGCCGCAGATATTCACCATGGAATTCAACTGCTTATTACCTTAGTACAAAGAGCGCAACTTTGGCCGGAGTACACTGCATTGCGTCCCGAGTTCGAGCAGCCTTGCTTTTCTATCACCATTTCTTGATGACTTCGGAATTATTAGAGTCGGTGGTCGATTAAAAAATTCGATGCTTAGCTTTGAATCGCGCCACCCATGCATTATTCCGAAGGATCATTTACTGACATGTAGTATAATAACCTGACATGTAGTATAATAACCTGACATGTAGTATAATAATAATCGCAAACAACATCACGCAGGTCCTCAAGCTTTACTCGCCTTCATTCGAATGCAGTTCTGGCCCATAGGTGGTCGGAAAACAGTCACTCGAGTCCTACAAAAATGCATTATTTGCTGCAAATCGAGACCGCACCTTGTCGAGCACATAATGGCCGACCTGCCTAAAGAGCGAATTCAGGCCTCGCGCCCATTCATAGTCACCGGTGTGGACTACTGCGGGCCATTTTATTACAAGCCTGAAGTACGCAATAAATCGCCCCACAAATGTTATGTAAGCGTAAGAGACCTCTCAACAGGTGCTTTCATTGACGCGCTAAAACGATTCATGGCTACGCGTGGCATGCCTAGCTGCATCTGGTCGGACAATGCGACGAATTTTGTAGGCGCCAAAAACGAGCTTAAAGTAAACTACGGAACTTAGCCCTCAGCGAGAAACCCCGCAGCGAAGTGCACAACTTTTGCCTCAGTAATGGCTTTGATTGGCGTTTCATACCACCCCGCTCTCCGCACTTTGGCGGTTTGTGGGAAGCGGCCGTTAAAACCGCCAAACAACATTTCTATCGTTCAGTTGGCTCATCACAGCTTGGCTTCGATGAATTGCGTACTTTGGTATGTCAAATCTCGTCCTCTCGTACCCCTTTCAGAAAACCCAGAGGATTTAGATGTGCTAACGCTAGGCCATTTTTTGACTGGTAGTTCTCTGACAGCTCTTCCGAAACCGGATCTAACGATGTTAAACTACGACCGACTTGATCGATGGCAGCGTGCAACATACATTAAACAGTTTTTTTGGAAGCGGTGAACTCAAGAGTATCTAACTCTTCTACAGCAACGCGCAAAGTGGCATTTATCTCATGCCAACATTGAAGCCAATGATGTCGTATGCATAAAGGAAGAAAACTCACCACCACTGAAGTGGCCTCTAGCACGGGTAATCGAAGTTGTCCCTTTAGCAGACGGTGTCGTACGTGTGGCACTTTTAAAAACATCTAGCGGCATAACGCGACGAGCCGTGAACAAGCTGTGCGTCCTCCCGGTGAAGGATTCTGTTGAAAGTCCTGACCTTTCAACGGGGGGAGGATGTTAGGAGCAGCAGCGGATAAGCCAGCAACATAAAATATGTTTATCAAAATCAATATGAATAATGTTATCTGATCACACTAAAATTTTCATACTCAATTGAGCTGCATATTTACCTATATGTATTTAAACTGTGCTAATTTTGTTTCCCCTTTATACTATGTATTAAGCATATGTATACACGATTGAGAGAATACAAAGGTTGGGCCGACCTCGGACCGCTATTCCTTTCTTAACGAATTTTACAGAATCGTTGTTTGCATGACGTTACACTTGTGCAACTTGTTTATGTTTTCCTTGCAACATTTTTTCTTATTCTTCCATTCTTGCTCACGTTTTGGCATTTCTCACTCGTAATTGCACCAGTGTGACGTCACACAAAAGTTATTCTCAAAAATCCTCTCTGATCGGCCCAATCTTGTATTCTATCATTCTTGATATGTATATACATACATATATGTATGTGCATATGTACCGCCCGCGCTCAGTTGGATACATTCGTTTGTGCTCACTTACACACGGCGATTTTTGTGGCCGCAACTCGACGTATGTGGGAGAGAGCGTGACGAGGAAAGGAGAGGGGCACCGAGTTGCTCGTGCTCGGGCAACACGCTTTGTGCTCCCGTTCGTCTGTGTAAATTGAACCGCTGTTCACAGCTGACAACAACAATTGCATACACACAAATCGCCGTGTGTAAATGAAACGAGCAACACCAAAAGGGAATGTGAAAAATCGCGTCGACAAAAGTTTCCGTGTATAAACACAGTCTATGCAAGCAAGCGAAAGATATGTACATATGTAATGTAGGCAATACTGTGTGCGCGGGTGCATACGTACATAAATATATATATATAAATTCTCATGCATTTAAGAAAACTGGTTTTATATTTTTGGTGATGAATTCNTCATCACTGCTTGGCTTCGATGAATTGCGTACTTTGGTATGTCAAATCTGTGCTGTAATTAACTCTCGTCCTCTCGTACCCCTTTCAGAAAACCCAGAGGATTTAGATGTGCTAACGCTAGGCCATTTTTTGACTGGTAGTTCTCTGACAGCTCTTCCGAAACCGGATCTAACGATGTTAAACTACGACCGACTTGATCGATGGCAGCGTGCAACATACATTAAACAGTTTTTTTGGAAGCGGTGAACTCAAGAGTATCTAACTCTTCTACAGCAACGCGCAAAGTGGCATTTATCTCATGCCAACATTGAAGTCAATGATGTCGTATGCATAAAGGAAGAAAACTCACCACCACTGAAGTGGCCTCTAGCACGGGTAATCGAAGTTGTCCCTGGAGCAGACGGTGTCGTACGTGTGGCACTTTTAAAAACATCTAGCGGCATAACGCGACGAGCCGTGAACAAGCTGTGCGTCCTCCCGGTGAAGGATTCTGTTGAAAGTCCTGACCTTTCAACGGGGGGAGGATGTTAGGAGCAGCAGCGGATAAGCCAGCAACATAAAATATGTTTATCAAAATCAATATGAATAATGTTATCTGATCACACTAAAATTTTCATACTCAATTGAGCTGCATATTTACCTATATGTATTTAAACTGTGCTAATTTTGTTTCCCCTTTATACTATGTATTAAGCATATGTATACACGATTGAGAGAATACAAAGGTTGGGCCGACCTCGGACCGCTATTCCTCTCTTAACGAATTTTACAGAATCGTTGTTTGCATGACGTTACACTTGTGCAACTTGTTTATGTTTTCCTTGCAACATTTTTTCTTATTCTTCCATTCTTGCTCACGTTTTGGCATTTCTCACTCGTAATTGCACCAGTGTGACGTCACACAAAAGTTATTCTCAAAAATCCTCTCTGATCGGCGCAATCTTGTATTCTATCATTCTTGATATGTATATACATACATATATGTATGTGCATATGTACCGCCCGCGCTCAGTTGGATACATTCGTTTGTGCTCACTTACACACGGCGATTTTTGTGGCCGCAACTCGACGTATGTGGGAGAGAGCGTGACGAGGAAAGGAGAGGGGCACCGAGTTGCTCGTGCTCGGGCAACACGCTTTGTGCTCCCGTTCGTCTGTGTAAATTGAACCGCTGTTCACAGCTGACAACAACAATTGCATACACACAAATCGCCGTGTGTAAATGAAACGAGCAACACCAAAAGGGAATGTGAAAAATCGCGTCGACAAAAGTTTCCGTGTATAAACACAGTCCATGCAAGCAAGCGAAAANTTCCGAAACCGGATCTAACGATGTTAAACTACGACCGACTTGATCGATGGCAGCGTGCAACATACATTAAACAGTTTTTTTGGAAGCGGTGAACTCAAGAGTATCTAACTCTTCTACAGCAACGCGCAAAGTGGCATTTATCTCATGCCAACATTGAAGCCAATGATGTCGTATGCATAAAGGAAGAAAACTCACCACCACTGAAGTGGCCTCTAGCACGGGTAATCGAAGTTGTCCCTGGAGCAGACGGTGTCGTACGTGTGGCACTTTTAAAAACATCTAGCGGCATAACGCGACGAGCCGTGAACAAGCTGTGCGTCCTCCCGGTGAAGGATTCTGTTGAAAGTCCTGACCTTTCAACGGGGGGAGGATGTTAGGAGCAGCAGCGGATAAGCCAGCAACATAAAATATGTTTTTCAAAATCAATATGAATAATGTTATCTGATCACACTAAAATTTTCATACTCAATTGAGCTGCATATTTACCTATATGTATTTAAACTGTGCTAATTTTGTTTCCCCTTTATACTATGTATTAAGCATATGTATACACGATTGAGAGAATACAAAGGTTGGGCCGACCTCGGACCGCTATTCCTCTCTTAACGAATTTTACAGAATCGTTGTTTGCATGACGTTACACTTGTGCAACTTGTTTATGTTTTCCTTGCAACATTTTTTCTTATTCTTCCATTCTTGCTCACGTTTTGGCATTTCTCACTCGCAATTGCACCAGTGTGACGTCACACAAAAGTTATTCTCAAAAATCCTCTCTGATCGGCGCAATCTTGTATTCTATCATTCTTGATATGTATATACATACATATATGTATGTGCATATGTACCGCCCGCGCTCAGTTGGATACATTCGTTTGTGCTCACTTACACACGGCGATTTTTGTGGCCGCAACTCGACGTATGTGGGAGAGAGCGTGACGAGGAAAGGAGAGGGGCACCGAGTTGCTCGTGCTCGGGCAACACGCTTTGTGCTCCCGTTCGTCTGTGTAAATTGAACCGCTGTTCACAGCTGACAACAACAATTGCATACACACAAATCGCCGTGTGTAAATGAAACGAGCAACACCAAAAGGGAATGTGAAAAATCGCGTCGACAAAAGTTTCCGTGTATAAACACAGTCTATGCAAGCAAGCGAAAGNAATGTGAAAAATCGCGTCGACAAAAGTTTCCGTGTATAAACACAGTCCATGCAAGCAAGCGAAAAATATGTACATATGTAATGTAGGCAATACTGTGTGCGCGGGTGCATACGTACATAAATATATATATGTAAATTCTCATGCATTTAAGAAAACTGGTTTTATATTTTTGGTGATGAATTTGCAGTTACCCAATGTAATTAGGACATACATAAATAGTTCAAGGTGAACTTTCTTTGAGTTAGTCGTGGACTGAAATTTGTCAAATACAGTTGCTTAGCTTATGCATAAATCATTTGTTTTATTTTAATAGCTGCTAAAAAGGCTTAGCAGCTCAACACGTCTATTTAGTATTCCGTTCGTCTAGTAAAAAGATATAGCCCTATTTATGCGTATCCATTCTGAGTAATAGTGAATTAAATAGGTATATAAAAGATGAAACATTTGCAAAATATTAGCGCTGTCGCTTTTTCTTTCCTGAAAAATTTGCGTTTGTATTTACCAGCGCCACTTCGCTCGTACTGCATTGGTTGTACAAAGGTCCATTCATTATTTTCAGGGTGGTAGCATTCTACAGTTGTCAGTCGATCAGTTCCATTAAATCCTCCAATTGCGTATAATAATCGATTCACAACAACCACACCTACACCTAATCTTTTTTCATGCATGGGTTGTACAAGGGTCCATCGATCTTGCTCTGGATCGTAACTATAAATAAAAATATGAAATATGAAACGTTAAATTTATACGCATTGTTATCTATGGTACATACTATTCGACTGAATTGTGGTATTCTGATCCAGCGGATCCACCTATTGCGTACATCAATTCATCCATTACAGCCACGCCAACTCGATGACGTGGTACTGTCATTGGAGCGCACGGACGCCATTGCTCTGTTGCAGCATTATACCGATCTACCCAGTCGGAATCATAGGATGAACCAATAGAATTATTTCTTCCCCCCACAGCATAGAATGTGCCTTTCAAGAAAGCTGCACCCAGACCAGACCGGGGAATCCGTAAATTTGGCAAAATTGTCCATGTTTTGTCATCCACGTTATATGCTTCCAAGATGTCCAATGATTGCCGGAAAAATCCTCCGGCCACAAAAATCATTCGAGTTGTATTTGGCGTACGTTCTTTTACTACCGGTCGTTTGTGTAAAGTCAGATCCTTGAATATCTTGGCTAAGTACTCTCGACAAGCAGGAACCTTACGTAACACATCACAGTTTCTCATTTGCTCTTTAAGAAAATTAGGTGTCAAGAACTGACAACGAACGGCACAAAGTATATGCTCCATTTTTGGGTAACGGTTTTCTTCATCATATTTAACCCATTTAAGAACAGCATTATATACTTCGCGCTCCTCTTGAACATTTAGCTCGTCGCGACGAATTAACGCAATCAATTGGTAAGCGGTGAGTTGAAGAAACTCTTCTTCCTGGCATACCTATAATTATAGTAATTTAAATATTACTATACGTAACTGGTTAAAATGTATTGTATTTATGTGCCTGAATGCTTTCGCATGCTATTCCTTATGCCTCCGATGCAGTGTTGCCACAAAAAAATTACCAAATTCCTCAAAAACAAATGAAAATTCCTCAAAATCCGAACAAATTACTCAAAATTTTCGTATTACAGATATGAGTATTTACAAGTACTTAGTATAAAAATTGATTAGATTCTCCAATTCAATTGGTACATTTTTTTTTTTATACCTTGGTTTCTATATAATATTGCTGCAACTATATCAGTGCTCAATCTGGTCCTCAAGTCATTCCTACACATTTTTAAACTACTAAATATACATTCTCCTGAAACATTAGAAAAGGACTATATTAGTAATGCAGATATAATTTTTTTAATTGGGAAATTTATATGAACCTGGATCCTTTAATTAAAAAATGTTGTTCCTATAATTTTCTCGATCTAATGAACAATCAATATTAATATCCTTCTGATCGAACAATGCTTGTTTTCTCCATACGTTACCGAGATTTTGCAAGTTCAAAATAAGTTGAAAATATAACGATATAACGAAATGAAAAAATTATCGACAACATTTTAAATATTTAGCAACAAATGCAGATGTGCTTAAGAGCGAAATACACCACACAAACGGCATGCCAAACATTCTTCAAATCTACTTTTCCCATTTCGCCATACACCATACCATAAGAATTTTAGTTTTCTTCGGTTCACAATGTAAAAATGTTATAAAACTTCGGAAAGTTTTTGGTTCAAAAATTTGCAGAGCGATTTAATAACTCTCTTGTGTAAAACATGGTTGCATTTGTTATCTGGAAATATATCGAGAGAAAATTCCTCAAAATAAAAATCCTCAAAAAATGCTCAAGCGCACCCGAAATTCCTCACGTTTTGAAGAATTACTCACAAAGTGGCAACACTGCTCCGATGTGTACATCGTATGTACCACGGAAAAGAACTAGCACACAGTAATAATGTGCCCGGACTGGTAGTTCCCGTTAGATTTACAATAGCAATACCAATAAAAAAGAAAAAAATATCATGATCAAAAAAGTACAGACTACATGAAAATAAGCAAAGTAAAGGAGTTACGCAGCAGCTAAGCTACGCAAAAATCAGAAATGTGGCTTGGTAGAACTTTTCGTGCTGATTTCAACTATACCAAAATTATTTGGCGAAAGTAAAATATAAAGATATCAATGATGCCAAAATAAAGGTAACTAATTAATGGGTCTTTCATAATTTGTTCCCTTTTTTATGTTTTTAAGCTAGAAATACTTTAAAACAAAAAAATATATGTAATGGCATTTTTTTTTATTTGTTTTAAAAAGGGCTATACTATATACGTCGAGTAAAAGGTTTTTAAGTTATCTTTAAATAAGCATCAATACTTTAGTGAGCGGTCAAGTAGTTTCCGAGATATTATAAATATAAGAAATATAAAAGTTTAACCTTCACCTCTTTTATAAGCTTCGTTTTTTATTTATTCCAAATAATATTGGGATGGTTGAAATCAGAAAAGTTCTATCGAGCTACATTTTTGCTTTTCTATGGCTAAACGGTTTGTGATCTAGACCACGTGTACTTCGGACTACTTCTGTCTAAATCCGGGAGTACGGGAACAGGCCAAATGTAAAGAAAATATAAAAAGTAAACAATCAACTGTCAAAGCTAACTCTGGCTCTGGCACATACAGCTTTCGTGCTGCTTTGGCGTTGGTTTTGCTTTTACAGCTAAGATAAATACATACGTTTATATGAAGCAGTTCTCATAGGCAACTCTGACGCAACAGAAACACGACCGCTGGTTAACTCTTGCCGATTTGCGCACTTTGACGCTCCCTTAATATAATTATTCACTTTTTACTAATAAACACACAAAATCGTGTAAAGAAAAAACGAATAAAGACCGCGACGACCAAATGCTTCCATTTTAAAAAGGTTTGAATTTTTTTCCATCGTAAAATTCAAATTCAAAAACTAAAAACATTTGCTGTCAGAGCATTCATTGAAGCAAACACTAGCGCTACTTGTGTTGCTGTCAAAATGAAACAACGCGAAAGCGATGCGAAAGCTGTATGTGACAGAGCCTTTACGGTTGCCACTTGTTAAAAAAATAACCAACCAAAATCTGAAAAAAAAACAACCAAATTGAAAAACAAAAAAAAAAACAAATTTGTTTTTGTATCCGAAAAATCTCATCATGTTATTTCAAAACAATAATTTTAAAAAATATGTTCATACTTGTTTGAAAATATGCATACGTATTCGCCAGTAGCTGAGTGCGCAGAGGTGCGTGCTACTATTTGTTAGCTTTCAGGAGGTTCCAGGTTCGAATGCCGTCAAAAGCAACACATTCAAATTATACATACATATGTGTATAAATGTACTTATTAGGGATGTGCCGGATAGAGCTTTTGGCGGATAACCGGATTCCGGATACCATGTAAAAAATAAGAGCCGGATTCGGATATCCGGTAGACTGATGCCCTTAATAAATTTCACAATATTGTTATATTAGGTTTTTTTGTTTAGCGACATACTTATGACCAGATTTTCTACTTTTTCGAGCTGAAATATACAATACGCAATTAGGAATATAAAATTTCTCCTCTGAAATCCAAGTTATAAAATAATGCTGTATTTAAAATTTAACTTTTCCGTCTGCAACCCTGGTTCATCGTTTTTTTTTTTTTTTTTGGTAAATAGAGGATACATGTCAACGACAAAAGAAAAACAACAATGAACGCCACTAAGTAAACATGCGTAGTTTATGTATTTTTATTTTACCCTTACTCTCTTTGGACTTATCACCACAGGAAAACATATCGTAATAATCATGTCACAAATTATATTTCCAATGGAAACTGCCTATTTCTCATGGGCTGCAACAAGGCGAATTTATATAAGGTGGTGTTGCTTCATCAGCTGTGATTAGCATTTGATTGTTAAAATTTTGTATTTCGCTAGTGAGTGAGTGAAAACGTGAGAGTGCTTGTTTTTTCGTTTGCCCTTATTTATTCGGGAAGAATAGCTGAGTTTTGACAATACCCCGCTAAAAGCAAAAACAAAATACAAGTAATTTCTGTATTTGTTGGTTCAATACCACCTTATATGAATTGGCCTGGGCTTCAATATATGTATGTCAGCGCTTATTGCTTGACATCTATTGCTGGCAATCTGGTAATTTGACAGCCATATTTTCTTTTGAAAAAAAAAACGTGCTGGCGATAAAATCGATGAAATTTTGACATTAAATCAAAATAAGGAGCCTTTCCCTATCGGATTACACCGTGCCACAAAAACCAAAAATTTTTAAAACACACGAAAAAATCAATATATTCACAAAACTAGGAGCCACATAAATATAATGTAACTGCGCTTTTAATTTTTCTCTAGGATTTCTAGGATATGATTGAACAAAAAAATTATTTAAATGATTTGGTGCATTGTAGAGTAACAATATGGGTATCAGTTAAAAGGAAAAATTCTGTAGAATGGAAAAAAACTTAATTTTTGGGTGCACCAGGACGAATAAGTGTTGAAAGTGTCCCTTTAAAACTTTATATCTGCGGAAATCTCCAATATTTATTTTTGAAAAAAATATATGTGAAGGACTAATATATAAACGAGCATATCCTCAAATTTCGTCCCTCTAACTGTAGTTTTAGATAAAAGGAAATGTACACTTCTCTTTATAGGATATTGATAGTTACAATAAACATAAATGAAGATACTAGAATTACACTGTAAAGCACTCGGCTGGGTATTGAACCAAACTAATTTTTTTTAAGAAATTGAGTCATAGGTAAAAAAGTAATTTCTCCGTTTTCCGAAGTTAGCCTCCGAAATCGAGATATGGGCCTTCGAAGTATAGTACATGGTTGGTTGAACACATGAAACAACAACAAAATTATCCAATCATGCTATTTATGAAATCTATGCACCATGCTAGACAGTATGCACCGGATCGTGAATNAGTGGCATTTTTGTTTTTGAACTTCTGCTGTCACTTTATATGAATACGCCTTGGAATAAATTGTAATTTTTTATAAAACAACAAAAAATTTATTTCACGCCAATAAAATATTCAACAAAAACGTATATGTACATAAAACTGAATAAAAAAGGCGTGTGTAGTACCGTACATAACTATGATAGAAGTTAAACTTCTTAAGAAAGGTGCGAGTACCAGCTACTCACGAAATTTGATGTGTAAACATATGTTTACGGCTCGGAAAACTATTAGGCGAATGAGTTACATACATAGGTTTGGTTGGAAATTAAACAATAATTTCATTTTATGCTATTAATTTTCTGATATATAATTTATTTATTAATTTTCCGGTAACACCCCCTTATATGAATTCACCCTTATAGCTTCCTTAGGTCCGGGTTGTAATGGAAGTAACTGAACGGAGTGAACTATCACACAATTATCTATTGTATATTTAACAAATAAATGCAAATGTTTATAATGCAATCAATAGATCCTTACGAATTCGCCTCGATTTGTTACGATTCTCCACGTGCAATATAACCAAGGCACTAAGTAACGTGCGCACTTTTGTTAGCAAAATGCATTTACATATTTAGGTTAAATGAAGACAATTTCCTTTGTTCGGCATTTATTCTTACTCGCTTTCTATCTTCCAAGGCGAACTCATATATTCTTATAACGAATTCATATATTCATGCGGTAGCAAGAGTATAAAACCATAAAAATACCTTAAAAATTACATGCACAAATATCACCTTTATGCGTAGTCAAATACACGAAATCATTTCATGGTTCTGAGTAAAAACTCAGTGGTGTTCATTAGGGTTCGGAAATATTCATTCACCTTCGAACGCGAACGCTAAGGTGAACGTATCAAATATTCCCTATTGATTCTCCTTCGCATAAAACCAGTCCATATAGTTCGCATTCGCGAATGTTGCATAATTGCATAAGATTTGC